CCCCCCCCCCCCCCCCCCCCCCCCCCACGGGATTTACATTGATAGGTGCATTAAATGAAAGTAATTGAAGGCTCATGGAGGTAGATGAAGATAAATAAAGATTAATGGAGGTAGATGAATTTGGGTTATCCTAAATGAAGGGTAATGGAGGTAGATGTTTGTAGATGAAGGTAAGTGAAGGATCATGGAGGCAGATGAAGGTCGACGAAGGTAAATGAAGGCCAATGGAGGTAGATGAAGGTAAATAAAGGTTAATGAAGGGCAGGGTAGATGAAGGTAAATGAAGGCGAATTCACAGGAAAAAATAACGGATTCCCATTTTTGGATATTTTAGGGTATTTAAAGAATAGCCATAAAAATCCCAAATTTGGCAAAGTGAGACAAGTCCCAACCAGGGAATTTCCAACCAAGTTTCCTGATTGGGACTTGTCTCACTCTTCCAAGTTTGGGATTTTTGTGGGTATTCTTTAAATACCCTAAAATATCCAAAAATGGGAATAGGTTATTTTTCCTGTGATTGAGGAATATGAAGGGGGATGAAGGTGAATGAATGAATGAAGGCACCTTAAGGTGTCGGTGAGGTTTACTCCCCTTTCGAACTGGGGTCAGTAGTTTTCTTCCAAAAGGCTCCAATCCATTCCTGCAATTAATAGCTAGAATATGGGACTCGTACCACTATTTCGAGAGCGGTGGAGTAGACGATCGTGAATATTTAAAATACTTTGTTTGCTTTTTAAATTGATATGTTTCATTAACATTTGAAATTTCAATTTTATACGATTTTTTGTTTTGTCTTACAGTTTGAAGCTTTTTTCTTCTACAACAGCTGCTTGCAGAATTACGCGTAGTTTGGTAGAGATTTGCATGTTTCTGGTGTTGCATACCTTTAGCACAATGGTCTTGAAATGATTCCTGTGTACTGATCTCAAAATTACGAGTTCTGTTTTACTAAGCAAAATTAAGATCAACTTGATTTCAAAATGAGCGAGTTTCTTACTGAGTTAACGGCCACTTTTGTGCGGTGCAGTTATTTTCAAGTTCAGAATTGAAAATTTACGCAACGCCTGAGCACACGCGCTTAAAGTAATTCGCAGTAGGTGATGCGCAATTGAAAAAAGTGAGGACCCATTCTCGTCCCCAGAGGCACTCGGCTTACCTTGTAACAAGACCACGTGACCAAGAAACGACGGGCTCTGGGGACGAGAATGGTGATGACTAAGAGAAGGAACGCTTCGAATTACCTCGTGGATTTTAAATTATGTTGTTAAACATAGGGACTCGTATTCAACTCGATTTTTCGAGATTGCGCTATCAAATACAGCTTGCACCATCCACAAATCTTAAAGCGATGCTGGGGATTTGCCAACCTTTTCTCGGTCTTTCATTAAGATAGAGGATCAGACGTTTAGTCAGTTTGTTGGTTCTGCAGATAGTGTGATAAGATAATTTACCTTCATATTGTCGATCGCAATTCAAACAAACAAGATTAAGGAGCCTCAGCGGATGTTCAATCAGGCAGGGCGCGAATGACATAAAATTGAGCGAAAGAAAAAGAAGAAAACCTTGCTGAGTTATATTACATTTAATGTGAATAATTGCAGAGTTCATCTTGAAACTTGGACGAGTAAAAAAGTACGTGGGCGATGCGAAAATTGCGGTTCACACCTGTATTCCAAGTAAAAAATTCCCAACAAGCAGAATTAATACAAAAATATAAAATTCTTTTTGGTTTATTTATTATTTACAGATACGTGCTCTGCATACTTCTGGTGTTAATTTTTATTTAGGAAAAACGCATTGAGAAAGAAACTCATGGCAATGCAAAAAAAAAAGAGAAAAAGGATTCTGCCTACTTTTCATATATTTTGTCTCGTCTCCACTTATCGAGGTGAAATATTTATCGATATAAACACGCGGGTTCCAGTTGTTCTGTATTGGACAAAAAACATAAAAAATTTATAACCCCTTCACAATGATTCATCTTTTCTTGTCACTAAGAGATACTGTTCGCTAATACTAATGCAAAGATATAATCTTTGGTATAGACGAAGGTAGAGAGCACATTCATTATTTATTTGGCAATGATTGAAAGAAAACTGATTGAAATGTTATATGCAGCAGCGAGTATAAACGAATTAGTGCTGTTCGCTAGAATGTGAATACAGTTCTTTTAGACAGCTATGGCGTAAGTATCCTTATTTACTCCTGCGCAAGAATTTTTCGGAGTTATGATGACCATAAATATAGCGAAGAAAATCCAAGTTTTGCAAACGTTATTCAGGTAAGCACTTTCGCTTATTGAAATGTTACATCTGAAATAAAATATGATAGGCTGGAGCAAAGGATATTGACACGATTCATTTATGTGAGTTATTACTTTTCAAAAAGAATCTGATTGTAGATGTGAGTATACAAGTCTTTGATTCGCCTTCTTCACAAAGTAATCTTCTAGCTTAAACGACACTATTCGCATCTCTGGAAATATGCTTTTTTTGCTCTACTTGTTAATGGTCAGAATTATAATGAACGTTGTAAGTATTTTTTTAAAAGAGCGTGACTGATGGGTCACAAATATTTATGCGTGACACGGCATTTTGCGTGGGTGGTGCGCAGCGCCCGGCGTTGCGTGACGTAGAGAGAGGGGCCAGAACTGGACTACGCCTGGCTACGTTGATAACGAGGCGTGGACCAAAGCGGCCCACGCATCATCTAAACTATTGCTATAGTCTGTACAGGCGCTGGACGTTGTAGACTAAAAAGGCTAAGAGGTCTTTAGTCTCCAATACGAAGCCATTCTTTAGGAGCGCTATGCGACGAGGCAAAGAACGGCTTTGTGGGACTGAGACCTAGAAAGATCTTGAAAAGATGCAGGTGACTGACTATTGCCTTGACAACTACCTGAAAGTCAATTAAAAATCCCAGAAGGATGAAGAGGGGTCGAATGATGAGGGCTCCGAACTTTAAAATTCGTTGGCTTCCCTGTTCGCTTTGACTGCGAGTTGTGAGTGGATTTATTAACTGCTAGCAGGAGAGTTCAACTCCTCTGTATAAATTTGTGCGACTAAGAGTCAACTTGTATATGTTGAAGTTATTTTTCTTTTCATTGTTTTGGGGCCATGGTAATGTATGCTAATGAATTTGAAACAGAGGAAAAACAAAAATTAACGCAAATAAAAAAGTGAACTACAAAATAATCAAGATATTAATATTTTAGCTTCTCATAAGTCTTCGAATTCCTGGAAGATCGTCAAGTTAACTTCATTGGACAATATCGTATCTTTCGATCATTTAAGAGTCTTTCTTTCCTATTTTTTTGGGAAGTGTCTTGTACGCTTATATGAAATTAGTGATACTCCTGATCCAGAGCGGACAGCGTCAGTCCTTGATCTTCTGTTGAGATCTTCCATTCATTCATTACTAGTAGCTGACGAAAAGACAAAAACCCGCTTTTATGGAAATATAAATGGGGGCGAGCCTACTAAAAAATACTTACAACTTTAGCTATATTTTGATGATCAAATAAATGTAGTAGAGTTGTTTTAACTCCACCTGCCGTTCGCAATTTCTTTGTCGATCCGCAGCAATAAAATCCAATAAGGTGATATGAGAACAGGTTCTCATTTCTGGCTGGTGACGCAGTACCTACCCCACCCTTGGCATCTCTCTGGTGGCATACAGTTACGTCATCATGCCGGGCGGAAATGGTGCGCAAGCGCGCACTTCACGTCGAACAACAACATGGCGAAGCTGGAAAGCCAGAGAGGAATAGACACCGCTTTTGACTCTTATTTTAAAAGATAATGACTGGTTTGGTCAAGAACCAGATCGTGAAGCAGCTCGCCAGGTACTTTTGCCATAAAGTGGTCCAAAATGTCCGCGATGTTCGTGAGATCTGCTCGGCGCGATAAACGGGAATGTGTGCACGTGAACTTGTTGGACAGGTTTTTTAATGCTGTGCATTTTCTTTCAGGTTCACAAAGAACCTCTCTCCCAACAAAATCAGCGTGAAGTTTCTTAAGGGAGAAGGCGAACTTCACAACCTTGAACTAGATGAAACAACTCTTTCAGAGCTTCTGGAGTTGCCACCATGGATTCGCCTTACAAAAGCTGTATGCAACAGAATTTCCGCCAAGGCAAGTTATTATCAGCATACGGATGCATTGTTGAATTTATTATATTTCCTTAAGCACATCAATTCATATTTCACTTCATAATTTGTTTAAAACTTTTTTGACAATGACATTTTTAGAACGAAGTCCTTCAGTCAAAAACAGAGCAGTTTTGGTGATTAAACTGTTTACAGATGTTTTACTTAAGAGCAGAACGTCTCAGAACGTCTCAGAAGCCTGATAAAGTTCTGTCATTTCTGTCATCTGTTGAGGAGCTGATGATGAAAATATTAAGTCTATGATGAACAAATGTGGAAACGACGTTTGCTTAGGGTTATAAATATTAATCTGTGTTGAATCTGAGTTTTTTCCTGGCGATATTATTCAACTGCCTTTATGATTTTCATTTTAAAGTTTTACTATATGATGACAACAAAAACTATTGTAGTCCTTTTAGTAGCCTAGCGTCTTTTTAAAGGGACAATGTGTTTCTTTTCCGAATGTATTGACATAGAATTTAACCAACACTGTGGATTATGTGCTTGATCACGAGTTTAAATGCTACAGACTTTAAGCTTAAGTAAATCTTCATTTGCATTATTATTGTAACATGACAACCTTTTACTTGACAAGTTTGTATTTACTGCATTTTGTAAAGTGCTTAAAATGGTAATTCAAAACCCCCCAGGTTAAACGTAATTATTTTTGTAGACAATAGTCTTTTGCTTAATTGGATATTCTTTTTGTCAAAAGGTTTCAGAAGGAAATAATTCTAGATTCTTTAAAACATCAAGAGCACCTGTATATAGTATCATAGTTGTCGAATTGTCAAATTTGGTAGGAACGCCAGTTTAAAGTGTCAAAATATCTTTTGTGTGCATCGCAAACTGTTGTCATGGAAATTTTGATAATCTCAAGCCAGAATTTTACAGGTGAAACTGTCACTGGTAACTGTATCCAAGTCTGAGTAAGAACGTTTTTCTTTGTAGAATTTTCTTGAATTTGACTTACATTGTAGGATTAGAATATTTGTACTCTTTTAAACCAACGGTACCCAGAAGGAATCAGTAAAAAACAGATTTGTTGGGAAATAACACTCTTGATGTATTTTTCTACAGATTCACTGGACAAAACTTAAAACAGATCCAATTTGTCTGGTACGTGTTTGTTGCATTTTACAATGTAGTGCTCAAATATTTCTAGAACTACATTTCCTACTGAGATAATTTGACAGTCAGTAATAATACAATATAAATTAATAGATCTTGCTAGAGCTAAAAGCGAAGCTCCCATTTATGCATTTTAAATGTTCTTCACGCAATGGACTTTAAATCACTACTAAGAAATCCGCAAATCTATACTAAACTTTAGGGGAGAACCACATGACTTGGAAACATAAACTTAAGCCTGCGATCAGTTAAAAGCTAACAACTGGTCAGTGGAAAACTTCAAAAAAATATGTGACCTCAATGAGTTGGCACCAGAGCCCACGTTACAGTCATGTGACACTGGTCAGCCGATACCCTGTTTTGACAGCCGTCAATTGGCCATAATATGGATGTCTATTATCAACTTAAATACAGGTTACAGGCTCCCACACTAGGTAGAAAGTTTGACATTTCACATTGGTTTCCCTGGTGGTATGTGCCAATGGGACCCAGGTACCCTTAGCCTATACCAGAGCTAGTTCAAGTGAATTTTGCTACCCTATACTAGACTAGACTCCCCAAATCCTGTTTTCCAGAAACAACTGAGGTCACTAACACAGTCCAGCCAGAACAAAACCGATTTGATTTTTTTATATTCTTGAGTGGCAATTCCCGGTTTCCCTAGTCTAGACTAAAATCTTCAGCCAATTGATCATTTTAAATTTGAAGTGATACCCTCTTCTAGACCCAAACTCTCTGATTTATATACCCTATCCCAGCGTAAGCTGCTTCAAAACCATTCCCTTCACAGCGGCACATACCTATATAGCCCATATACGGCAGTACCCCCCCCCCCTCCCGTGGGGCACTAAGTATTAAGTTCAGTACAGAATTGACCTAAAACAGTAATAACCTCACGGCACCCCACTGTAGCCCCTTTAAAGGGTTAATTTTATCTTGCAGTATCTTGACCGTGTTGAGGTTAACATGGAAGCTGTCGACAGTGATGTTAACACGCCACCCACCAGTTCGCCACAGAGAAACCCTTCCCACGCGCCTCATCAACCTCTCAAGTAAGGTTTAAATAATCAAGGATGTTGACTGTTTGTATTTGGGTTGTTAGAGATGTGAATTTTCTTTCAAAATAGCTACTTAAAATATGTAAGACTTCTTTCCATTGTACACGTTGCAAGTGTAAACTCAACCCTAACTAGAATTTATTAAAGGTAATCGTATAAACATAACAACTTTCTTTAATTTTCCAGACATGTTTCGGCGGTACATCCGTCATCTTCAGTGTTACATATTTTGAAATCGCCGTTGAATTTAAAGCGCGCGCGATCTTACAAAGTTCGTTACATTGCGTTGTCAATATTGCGTACTAAAACAAAGTTAAATGAGTGACGCTTAGTTCTTTACAGGGAGAGAGTCAGGTTAATGTGTTTCACCTGCTGGTTGAGATCGGGCTTCTCCCATTTTATGAACATGGATTCCTTAAGCTTCACTTGGTACTTAGTGGCTGCACTATTATTTATTTAAGGTAATACAAAGGAATTCCATTTTTTAAATGTCAGTAATTGGAAAAGAACATTATGTGAGGCTTTCATCCCCTAATTTTTGTTTCCCTGTCCAAAAACATGAGTCATCAAAAGTAGAGGTTGCTTAAAAAAGAATGAAACAAAGCTTGCTTTGTTGGATTAATATCATTGTAAGCAAAAAAGAAAAGGTCCTTTTCTCTCCATTACAAAAGAGGCCAACTTCAATATTTTTGACCTTGAATGATGCTTTCAAAATGAAACACAAACTTCGGAATTAATGCACTGTGCAATGTTGTTTGAGTGTTAAGGTCACTTGTCATAGTGCAGGCAATCTGAAGTACAGTCGACTCCTGGTAACTTGAACCCTCAATAACTTGAACCTCCTGCTAATTCAAAGCAATTTTCATTTCCCATCAGATTGTTTCCGATATAATTTTACCCTCGATAACTCAAACTCCTGATAACTTAATATAATTTGAACTTTTTTCTATTTCCCTTGAAGGGTCGAATTATTGGGAGTCAACTGTACCAGATGTGGAGCCTCCAACTCCCTAGTCATTAATAACTCAAGGTTCTTAGTTTTTGTTTTGGTAAATTACTCAATTTTGGAACATATTGAGAAAAAGTTTACCAAGAAATGAGTTAGAATTAATTACAATGTGTATACAACAACAAATTAGAAGACAGCCTGATGTTCAGGTTGAAGTTTTACATTTTGCGCTATGTTGTTTATTCCTGTAGGGAAAAACCTGCCAACAGGTATGGCTTTGTTGAGAAAGTTGTGGATGGAATGTTTGTTCAGATCAACTCTGTGATCATCTCATTTAAGTTTCAAGCTTTCCTTGCAACATTCCAGATGTCACGTTTGTTTATACAAAGTACAAACCCCAAATGGGAAGCTGATGATCTGCGGAATACGCGTGTGAAGGATGAAACAAGAGGAGAAGTATTAACCTTTAAAGAAATAACATGGTCTACTCTAAGGATAGATGCCAATGCATTGTATGACGTAAGAAAATACCTTCTTTTCATTTTCTTGTACAAATGTACAATGAGTTTTTTTTGTACTACCATATTTTGTTTCAAAGAGCTGCAATTAGGAGTGAAGATATCAATAAGTGCTGTCTCCAAATGGGCTTCACATCACCCAAACAACCATGCGGCACCCACATAAATTGATTTTTAATTTTTGAAAGTTATTAGTGGTGATTAAATTTATTACTATTGTTATTGTTATGGATGTATTTTAATAGTTTTATTTTTCTGCAGGAAAAGCTAGACCAGCAGTCTACTCCTCTGCGACTTATCACCAGTCATTCAGCTCTCCATATTACAATCAAGAAACGTCTGGAAGACTGTGCAGTCCTTTCTGCAAGACTGGAACTTTTGTTAGATGATATTTTATGGGTTCTTACACAATCTCAACTGCAGGCATTTTCTGGTCTATTACATTCTGTGACCCAGGCTATGTCGCAAACAGCCCGGAAAGGGCCTGAAACCAATCCTGGGCAACCTGTGAACCCAGTTACCCAACAGCAACAAACTTCTTATGCATCCTCACAGGTGAACGAATCCAAGACTGACATTGAATCGTTAAATGCACTTTTTACAAAATATGACGTACGGGAAACAGCATATCATGTGAGGACAGGGAGCATTGATCTTCACTTATGTGATGACACCGAAACCGCGGGCGGTGATGGCGGAGCTATGCATTTGCAAGTAAATAAATTATCAGTGGATTATTATCCCTATCATTTAGCTGGGACATCAAGGACTGACTGGCCTTGCCATAATGAAGCATCCTTAACTCGTGCTTACTGGGTCAACCAACTTCTAAATGCGTTTAGGAACTCACAAAGTAACAAGCAAATGTCACCTCACAGAGCAACGCAGACCCATCATAGAGCCAGAAGTGATGTAAGTATACATTTTGTACAGTATAAACATTTGCTATGCTTCTCTAGTGCAACCAGTTGTATGGCTTCTACACCTGTATTAACTCTTCTCTTGTAGCAGCCATAGTAAGAAAAAAATGATCCTTGGCTTTATCTAAATGTTTCCAGTTACGTGCTGTGTGAACTTGACATAGTCCAGTAGCAGACAATATATGTAATAAGTAAATTATTTATTTTTGGTTTGACTGTTAAACCAGTTTCTTGAAGCTTGTGGGCTTAAACCTTCAATGAAGCATACCAGTAACTGATGTGGAAAGCTGTTTTTTAGATAATAAACTACTACACTTATTTTGTTATGGCAGAGTTCTGTTATTGGTGGTAATGCCAGAGAAGGTCCCCATCATCCAGGATCAACAGTCAGTAATCCTTCTTCACCTCGTTTAAGCTCCAAGAGAAACCACCCTTCAAGTTCAGCCGCAACTTCACGACAATCAGCACATTCTATCAGGAACAGTATGCAGCGTCCTGTTTTCATGCTTGAAAGTTGCTTTGTGGTTCGCTGTGAGGAATTTTTCATCAAGCCTGTAACAACTTGTAATGTTTCAAAGGAAGAAATACCATTTTTATCATCTGATAAAAAAGCTCTGTATTTACCCACCGACATGCCTGCATTTCAACTGGACTTCACGCAGTACTATTACCCTGGCACTGTAGGTTCACCAGGTTAGGGGTTAAATTTCCTCTTTTTTTTGTTACGTGTATCTCAAGGTGAATGCCAGCCTTGACTTCTCTACGGTTTTTGAATTTAAACTTAAAGGAAGATCTATTATTAATTTTATATTTAAGATACAGAAGAGTGTAAAAGTTGTGGTGAATAGCTGTTAACTGGGTTACATTATACAATATTGTGTAAACAGACGTAAAAGCTGGAGTACTACTGTATATTTCTAATGTCTTACATGTAAGTGCGTGGTTTGTACAGAAGTTCATGTCTGTGGTAGACAGAAGACAATGTAAATTCTCTGACTAACTACTATAAACATGTTTTTTAGACATTTCTTATAGTGGAATGAGTTGAATATGCTTAAAAATATTAAGACTTTATTTTCAAATGATCTTTTTGTTTCGTATTCTAGTACCCTGCCCAAATGTGTTTATTCAGCTAAATCCCATTCAGCTGACACTTGACATACCAACCTGTTTGTGGCTCAATAGCTTTGCAAGAAGCATTCTTGGACAGAGAGTAAGTACTTGTTTGCCTTTTTCTGCACTCAAGAGTCGTTTTAAAGAAAGTGGTGCTCGATTGAATTCTCTTGCGTTTCAACTCTCAAAAGCCAGGGTAGGCTCTGCACTTTGTAATGTCATGAGCTTGGCATGGGACAAAGAAGTCCTGGATGTCAGTTGAGCTCTGTAAACTATGGAGGAACTCATGGACTGTATTCACTGTCAAATAATTTATAGGAATTAGTATTTATTATGTTTATTGTGTTATGGCCAATCACAGTGAAAGTCAGGGCAAGACATACAAGTAATCCACAAACACACAAAATAATATTTCTTTGGCTGTTTGTGGTTTAGTTTCCCATGCCTGATGAGCTCTTCCCTTCATAAATATCTCTAGTTTTTTTTATTGTTACGTGAGTTTCACAGTAAAACGCATCCTGGATGTTGCAAACAGTGTCAAATGCATCCTGTGTGACAGAAAAATGAAATATTAGTATGGCGTATATTAATGAGAAAGATGTTAAGTAGACTGAATGTTTTCTTTTCAGACATGGTCTATGGGAACACCTGAACAAACGAACTTTCCTTTGAATCATATTGACATTAGAATTGAAGGCCTCATGCCAAAGGTGGGTGTCCTGTGATATTTGGTAAGGTACTAAGGGAGTAGTTGAACGGTGTTGTGATAAGATGTCTTTTGTTGTCTCTCCAATCTGTGAAGTGCGAAATGCACGCGTTATGTAATTTGTTGTTAATAACTTTGTAGAGAATGTCTAATCGGCCAAAGAGGAAAATACTGTACCATAATATTCTTATACTACCTTTTGGTGGTGCCTTGTAAATGTGAATGTGACTTTTGAATTACCCTCTATTAATTTGCGTGAACTGCACGTGTAATGTATGCATTGCACTTGCAAATCGTACAAAACAAAACTTTTTACAAAAGACTGGTTTACTTGAAGCACCACCCAAAAAGGAATTTAAATGATATTATGGTATTTTCCACTTTGGTCAGTTCATGTTATTGTATGTTCCATCTTTCATAAACTGCGAGCAGTCTGTTATTTTTTTCAGACTTAAAACCCTTTCTCTCCTAATCATAGTCAAAGAAAAATTCACTGAAAAAAAAAGACATTTTTTCTGAAAATCGTAACAAATGAAAATTTCTATGTAAATGTTCTACCAAAGACGTTTCATTTTAAAGGTAACACCCTAGGATTTTGTCCACAGATGAAAAGTTATCCTGACAAATAACGCCCGGGGTATTGATCCTTATCCCTACATGTCATTGATATACTGTTTTAACGGGTTTTTGCAAAAGTATCATTCATCAAAGTTGCTTGGTAGGAATTTTTTCATAGACGCAAGGTGAACGTTTTCCGTTATTTCTAGTATCAAACTTTACCGTGATGGAAGTAGGTTAGCATCTTGTGATTTAGGTAACAGCTTAGTGTGCTATTGCAGTATAGCTTTTATTTTAATGGACAAGGTTGTTTGCACTTCTCCATTTTGTTATCTATACCACCCACAAGCTCTGCACCTTGATCCCATCCTACCCAAATCCGTTCCCAGGGCTTGTACTGTCCATTCATGGTTATAGTGCTTTCTTCCTTTAAGTAAATCTGTGTCATGTGATTTTCCTTTTTTCAGATTGTCATCCCTTGTCCAAGTGATCCCTGTGCCGCCTATAAAGAATCTCGGCCCCAGGCTCTCCAGCTCCAATCTTCCCAAGTATTTATCACAAATTCAAGGACTGGGTACAAATCCACCCAAACAGACATGTTAATGTTCCTACAGCCGTTCCTGGCATCTAAGGTTTACTCGGATTTTAACAGCTTTCCCTCCTTGAATAGCGATGTTCGACCTTTGCCTAATTCTGCGTGGGTGAACGATTGTAGTCTGTTGGTTAACAATGGCAAAGTGGACCGCCTCATGAATGGCGTTTGTCATGATATTTATGATACCCACCAACCTTCTCAGGTATGAAAAATTTCCTTTAAATGTTTGGCTTCGTTGCACACATTTGAAGGATGCTGTGAACTGTGTAATAAAGTATTACTTTTGGGATAGTTCAAGCGTCTAACTTTTCATGTACCGAACCTAACCCCTTCTATAAAGTACGTGAAATATCGACGTTTGAATCATTTAAGTCCAACATAATATTGGATCGACCCATAAAGTGAGTTCGAGTGGTCCACTTGGTTCCTGTGTTTGTCGAGGTTTCTATTGAACTCTTATTTGATAATCTTGGTATTGAAAAATTCTGGAAAAAGTCTTGCATTTGTTCCGAACTATTTTAACACGCTGGTAGATGATTCTACTTTGATTATTTTTAGGTTTGGTGTATTTCTGCCGAACAAGTATGGCTGGATTTCCTAGGCATTGAGGAAGCAAATAACCGACCAATGCCGTTTATTGATGCTGTTCCTATCCAGATATGGATTGCTACTCCTGTTCCTGAGGCAGGCTACAAAAATACAACCGCCAAATCCCCTATGGGTCGCTCCCAGAGTGCCAGCCCTCTTAACTCACCTCCCCACACGAGGACAAATTCAGAGATTTCTCCCATGAGGAAAGCTTTTGAGCCGTCAATATTTGTCAAAGACCGAGCAGACACAATTCCGTCGCTAGCGTCGTCAAATTCAATATCTTTGCACAACAGCGATTCTAATGTAAGTCATTTTCCCGAGGCTGTCAATAGCATTAGCCTGAGTGAGTCGTTAGTGCTCAACAGGCCTCCACCTGCTTATGAAGGGAGGAATGGGGCGGACAAGCAAACTTCATCCGAAAGTGAACAGCCACCGCCGTACGAGATATTGGCCCAGAATGGACCTGTGTTACCCGTGCCTCACTTTGAAGAAGCACCTCCGTTACCTGAGAAGGTTCCTCTCTCTGAAGAGTTCTTAAACGGCTTGACCGTGAAAGAAAAAGAATCGCAACAAGAGCTTGATTCCGTTTCCAAGGCAGAACTGAGCCTGCTCATCCAAATCCCGCAAACTGTAAATATTCAGTTAGACCACTTTCAGTTTGTGTTTCTCATGCGTATGCAGGAAATGCTAGTTAAACTACAAGAAGACCTTGAAAAGGGTCAGTTAATGGAGTCAATGGAATCTCAGCCAATGATTTTCTTTTCTATCCTTGCACGGGGAGTAGACTTAAACATAGTACTTCCTCCAGCGCCGGACCGTAAAGCCTCCCGTTTGAACAGGGATCCCTCTCAAAACTTAAGTCGCAATACCAGTAGCCTCAGTAGTTATCCAGACACTGGGATTGTGTCAGATAGTGGTTGTCAATCTCCGGATGTGATCGACTCCAAATCTCACTCTAGAACCAACTCAGATGGGTCTCCACAGTGGAAAGATGGTTTACAGCCTACCATGGAGAATCACAGTCCTAGAGACGTGTCACAATCGCGTCCCAATTCATCGCAGTCCACGTCTCATACTTCTGGCCGCGCCAGTGTGTCGTCAGCGCCAGACACTGATGGCTGGTTGATGGTTGGTGCACAGGACAGCAAGTCCTCCAGTGGTCGAGTTACAAGCCAGACGGACAGTGATGCCAGTAACGCTAGTAGTCATCTGGATGGTAGCGCTTCCAAAGATTCCAACAAAAAAAGCCCAAAAATGGTGTCCATTCTTTCCATCCAAGGCGAAGAAGTCGAAGTTGGACTGCATTTTCATGGATATGACAAAGTCATCAAGATTATATGCCCTGAAGTAAAACTGGATGAGCTTGGCGTGGTTTCCTTTGACAAATTCCTTAACCAGAAGTCATTTAAAAAATCGCTTAGGCAAAGTGCGCTTTCTTCTCCATCGGAGGCCACTCCAATGGTGCGCATGCGTGCTGAGTTTGGCCCATCTGCCGAAAGGCTGGAGCCAACAGCTGGGGAACGAGGTTTTATGCATGTCAAAGCCAATGGTGTTAGTGGTACTTTGTTAGTCAGCACTTTAGGAAGCTTGGCCGACTGCCTTGAGGATGAAATTCTTGTTCCTCCGATACCTTTCATGGTGGAAGTCACTGATTCAAATGTCAGTATTAACAATGATCTGCCTCCGGCGTTAGTATCCGCGCCTATGGCCATCCCTATAGATTTAAACATTGAGAACATAGCTATTCGGCGCGCACACACTGGCGTTTTCCACATCAGGCCAATGACCGCTGAACCGCAGGAACGAGCTAACGAACCGGCTGTCATGCCAGTGACACGTCAGGAGTCTTTCAAAGCCAGTCAGCTGAGTCTGTCAGACTCAGCTTCGGTGTGTTCACGTGCCGAGAGTTTGGAGAATGAAAAGCAGTGCCTGGTTGCTCAGATGTCTGTTTCCCGTGCTGCATTGCAGTCGTTACAGGAGGAGCGTGACGCGCTGTTGAAGACGATTGAACGGCTGCAACAGGAGTTGTCGTTTTCCAATCGTGAACAGGACTTGTTACAAGAAAAAATGACCAGCTTCCAGAGAGGAGGAAGAAAGGGATACAGATAGGAAACGCTCAAAACAGACAAAAAAAAAATGGAAACCCTCCGCTAGTGTGTCACAATACGATTTGTGGACTTCTTCTTCCAGGTATCTGCTGAACGCACGGTCCTAGGATAAGTAACAAGGAGCTTGGAGCAACTTTAAATTGTGGTCTACACGCTCGATAATTTTTTGTCCGTCATAGTTTTAAGAAATTGGCTTCTTTGTGAAACGGAGATCGTGGAAAGTGATGTTCTTTTGCGTTTGTAAGGGAGTTTTTAAATCGTTGGGGAACAATTAAGAATTTCATTTTTGGAAACACTAGATCCGGACTTAATAGTTAATTCGAGTGACAATGCGATTTTGATATTATAATTGCCTTTGCAGAGAACTGGGTAATGGCTGTTCAGATCTACGTAGTCTTCCGAACACTGCAGGAATACTTAACACTGCTTAGCTGTCGAGTTGTCGCACTAACTGACCCGTCCTCAGTCCTTTTTCTCAGTTCTCTAGCGACGCGCAGGGTGTGATGGGAACGAGGAAAGCTCTCTTCTTCCCTCTTATCACTCCCTGCTCCCGCCGTGCGCGTCATGCGAAGACGACTGGGGACGAGTCAAGTCGCACAAACGTCATTCTAGTTCACGAAATGTATATTCTGCGACCCTGCCAAAATATTTTAAAAGTACTAATTTATTGGTTAAATATCCAAGATAATTTTTTAGCTAGTTGAATTAAAAAGCTTTTGAGCTATTTTTAATAACTAGAGTGTAGGAAAAGTAAATAATTTTAATGGTAGCAATGAACGTAAAACTGACATATGGTAAGCGAAATATATTCATGTATTTCTTACCAGGTGATAATGTATTGCTTTTTTTCTTAGATTTGGCACAATTTTGCAATATATAGGGTGTGTAAGACTTTTTAGCAGCGTTTATTTTTGGAAAAAAGACAATTGTATTTAAATACCACTTAAGAAACACTGCGAACCAATATTTTAATCTCGGATAATCCTTAAAATATTGAAAAACAGTTTCCTCACATTTAATTGCATATAATTGGTGGTATTGACTAGATATAATGTATGTGTGTGATTTTAAGTTAAATATCAAAAAAGAAACACAGGGGTTTACGCTCTAACTAAGATAAAGCACGGCCGAGTTCTTTATGCCGACTTTCGAGTTCTATGGATCACAGATGAAACATTGTGTTGAGTGTTTGACACAGCTTCTTTGTTTGTATAAGTGTATTGAATCAACAAGGCGCTGCCGAGTTTTTTTTAGTTCGACTGAGTTATTAATAACGCGAAAAACACGTTTTAGTTAAGGTAGAAGCATATTGTTTAAAAGTTTTTGTTTTAGGTTAATGTTAATTGCAAAATGTTTACGGCTTTAAAGGCAGGTGACAACTTGATGTTTTTGTCTAACAGCCAATTCACGAATAAAGAAAATCGCAAAATACGCTATAACAGTTTATAAGATGTTATAAATGATACCTGAACCCAAATGTGATTCTCTTAAGAGATCTACACAAATACTATTAGAAAGTAATCTAATAAAAGTTCTATTGTCAAATTAGTTTATAGGGGCACTTGCAAATGTGGTTTGATTCATTCGTGTATAAAAAATTTAAAATCGTCCTAAAAAACATTATTGTCTTCATGAGTAATAATTTAAACGTTTGCTCTTTTCGAGAAAAATAAATACTTTAAAAGGTCAGTCTTCTTTATTGTGTTCAAGAGGGAACGTTTTTTCCAAAGCAGTTTTATTTCTATTCCCAAAAAGAGAAACGCACTCGCGTGAGAATTGCATCTATCATGCGTTTCCTTTTTTTACTTTCCCGTGGGTTTGCTATCTCAAGGACTATGTTTCTTTCCCATAGGCTACCTGCATCACCAATACTGAACCTCGTTTCAGGTTTGTGGGTCTTCACCCTACGTTACAACCTCGTTCCCAGGGTCTTCTCTCCTCCTTCCTCGCTTTAGGGAAGTAGAGAGAGGACCCTGGGAACATGGTGGCCAAGGGCCGGCTCCGTCCACAGATCAAGTGGACCATTTAAGAGTGAGTCCAAGAGCAGATACATTTTATTTTTCTGTAAGTTTTAAAGGGGCGGCGCGTGTAAAAAATGTTTGAGAAGGAGGAGCGGTCTGGGTGGGGACATCCCGATATAACCCAGATCACTTCAATGAAAAAGTCTCCTGTTATTGCCTTTTGGTATTTGAAGCCCTGTTGTAGTTTATTTCATAGATTGTTTACAGTCCCCCATACTGCATGTCGTATGACTGGACTTGGTATGGAAAGTACAACAACTATTGCACAGCAGTCGTTTAATGCTTCTTGCGCGAAATATCAGCCTATCAGTGCTTCGAACAGAGGTATCGCTCCCAGATATTCCCCCGGGGTCTAACCCTTGCTTAAAAAGTCATCGACCGAATTAACACCTTTAAAATAATCAGTTTAAAAGCAAGAATCAAGTCTCCATGCAATGAATTTTCAGGCGAAATCTTTGTCGGTGCGGCCAGCAAGGACAGTTAGTCGACACCTAGCATTTCTACAGCCAAAACCTCGAGGCGAGGCTTGTCCGTGAGTAGGCTCAGTCAGCAAACAGCCGTCGCCCAGGGCTGGAGACTGAGCCTAGCTACTGGTCGGCAGCGATGATCACGTGACCATTTCCCGCCCTTTTATGTTAACCACGTTCTGCGCCATGTTCCTTCGACGTGGAAGACAACAGTTTACATGGTTTATGAGAACAACCAACTACAGCTAACGTGAGTATATTTCAACCTATTTTCTTTCACTTTCCCTTACCTTTTTTTGCAGTTCGTAACTGTAAAGTTTTCCTGGTTACTTTGTTGAAAAAAGCTGAGTGGAAACTGCGGTAGCGGGTCTTATTACGGGCTGGTTCGCTCGCACCTTGAAAATTCAAGGTCTTCAAAGTCCTTGAAAATTGCAGTCGGTGATGGAATTTCCTTGAATTTCGGTGCTTACTTTATCCAAACCAGATTCTCAAATGCCTACGAGGAGCAAACACAAAGACCTTCAGGATTGCTCATGTTGTGGAAGAACTTAAAAAGACATAGACTCAAGGCTCTTTTTTGTACTGAACGGAGGTTCTTGGAAAATGGGATAGTGTCCTTGAAATGTCCTTGAATTTTTTCTTTAAAAAAGGTTACGAACCGTGTCATTATGTAGCATGAGAAAACAATAGTGAAAGTTTATAGATCCGCGCGAAGGGTACGCCGTATGCCAGCTATCGTTTTCGACGTTTTCCGTTTCCTATAAAAGTCATGCTAATTCCTATATTGACTAGGAATTATCGCTTTTAGAAAACTCCAACTTGTTAACAATTTAGAATTTATTTAGAATTTCCTGCCTTGAAAAGCACTTTAAAATGATCTGCGGGCGATTTTATCATATTTTATACTAAAATCACTAGCTATCACTCAGAATCTTAACTGAACTGAGTATATAGCAAAAAAGGTTGGTTTTTTAAATTTAAAGTTATCTTTAAATTTATCTCTTTATGTCATTTAAGTGTTTTATAAAAATGTGGAATAAATTGATCTGGGACCGACGACTGGATTCAAGTACGGTCGGTATTAAATACCTTGCTTTTTTTAAGCCGGTCAGATATTTACCTAAATGCCTTCTGAGCGCTCTTTGGACGACTAAGAGACTCATGTTTCTTGCTGATATAAAAAGAAACAGTATCATCTGTATTGAGTAACACTTTGAAAATGCCATGGACACTGTTCCAGGATAAGGATTAATGGACCGATTATATTTAAGAGAAGGGTTACATATATTTTAGCGGGAGAGCAGTATCCATAAAAGTTTGAGTCAAGGATAGTTGTTATAGGATACTTACTGAAAAGGGCTTGAAAAGTGGGGCTATGTTTCCAAGTTCTCACCCTTAGAAACATCAAAAAGTCACTCATTTCATCGCGATGGCGTTCTTAATTTGTTAAGTTTGACAAACTCGGACGATTTTTCACAAGGGGCAAGGAAGGGCTTTAGGTTTGGCACCAGAAGTATTCAAGAAGGTCACGACTTTTTCAAATGCTTTATAAATGTATGGTACAAACATTTTAGATGAAGCTCCATTCATTTTTATTACAAGTTACAGAATCGCTAACTGGTATGATGTAAATGCAAGAAAGAAATTATAGTGATTACTGGAACGTGACAATGACCAATTTTGGCGTGACGATAGTAACGAAACGGAACATAAGGACAGAAAATGCTAAGTTTTGCCTTTGAGTGAAACTGTTTTTTCCTGATTTTTTTTCCTGGTAAATAGGACTAAATCAAACGGACATAAAATATAAATATCCACTTTGTCTGAAACGATAGTTTAAATTTCAGGGTCCAGGTGTTTCTTGTTTGGTGTTTACATAAGGTCCGGTATCTTGTGTCACGCTCATCACAGACAAACCACATGCTGTTCGAAGTCACTTCGCGGTTGGTGTTAGTCTTCTTGAATCTTCGGATGTGCCGCCGACTTTGCTAAATCGCCAAAATTTGCATGAAAATGAGGACAAGTCCGCGAAGACGATTAATCTAAGAATATTGAGGGCGAAGCAATTAGCTAAACGGCGACACGTGCAATATATTTTTGCTCATTGATATCTAATCATTCATTATTTCGGTTTCCGGGCCTTTGCACGGTGTTGTTATTTCGGCCTTTGTTGTGTTTTCGTTTCCTCGTTGCGAGGAGAATTGGAGGTTAAAAACTAGCTGTAATTGAAACAGACAGACTTTTGAGTTCACCTTGATGATGCCGCTTGTGAAAGAAGACCTGAAATGTAATGTTTCAGTTGAGTTCTTTACAAACTCGATTCGCCATGGCCATTGATGGAATAACGAAGGTATCATCTGCGCACGTTTGGCTCATGATCCGGGATTTCCCTCCTCAAAGTTGATACCGAAAATATCAATGTGGTGGTTCTATAGTGACGAAAAGACAAACTAAACAAATTACAGAATTGTTTCTCATATTATGACACAATGCAAGCTGCGTGGTGTTTTACAAGCATGACAGCTCTCTAGATATTTCATTGCCTCGCGCCATCTTGCAATCGGATATAGTCCTTTGAACTTCATTCTGCTGAGAGTCCTTCAAGTCGATGAGACATGTATGGGCTGATTCTGGAGAATTTTCGTTGCGTAATACTTGAGAAATATGGCGAAGCTGTCTGGAACAAAATTGTGGAAAAATCTCGAGTGAGGCACCACACTTTTGCAACACACAAAGTCTATTCGGAAGACATCATTGTTCGCCTCATTCAAGCAGCTACAGAAGAGACCAAGCACAGTTCGCAACAAGTTACCGAGGATGTTGGAATTCATTTCCTCGGTTTTATTGGTCAATATGGCTACGACAGAATTTTAAAAGTGCTTGGTAGACATATGAGGGATTTTCTGAATGGCTTGGATAATCTTCACGAGTACCTACGATTCACTTACCCAAAGTTAAAAGCACCTTCGTTTTTCTGCGACGATGAAACGGAGCATGGACTTAAACTACACTACCGCTCCTCACGTAAAGGCTTTCTTTACTATGTCATCGGTCAGATCAAAGCAGTTGGCCGATTCTTCTATCATATCGACGTTGAAGTGGAACTTTTATCTCATACTGAGAGCAAGGAAGGAACGAATGCCTTGTTTCAGCTGACGTTTGACAACAGCGTGTATATGGAATCACGCCGAAGGCCAAAACGACACTCTGTCATTTCATTGAACGGGGATGCCGAAAATCTTAAAATCCCCATGGAAGTATTTTACGAGGTTTTTCCTTTTCACATTGTATTCGATGAGGAAATGGTGATTTCCAGCACGGGTAATAGCTTGGAAGCCGTTCTACGGGGCCTTCCTGGAAAAAAGATTTACTCACAGTTCACGCTAATTCGACCCTTCATGGAATTCACCTGGGAAAATGTGAGTGTTTAACTATTAAGATATTGAAAGTATTTTTATTTGGTTGAAGACCAACCTTGTAAATACAGACACCATAGTCAACTAATGAAAAATGGTGTTGCGTGTCATCTTTTAATTATATTCAGAAATATGCATATGTTTTCCCAATATTCGTACATTTCAATAAGAAGGTTTAATGTTGAAGGAGAAAGTGATCACAATAAATAGCTTTTGTATTGTTTTCATTTCTTGATAAAAATCAACCCTCACCTCAATACAAACCAGAGCTGTCGTTTATATTATTTTTTCTTTTCACGAATTAGGGGGTTTTATCTTTAAGAAAAAGGGGATTTGATTAGTGCTAACCTGAAAATTAGCCCTTTTAGTTTTTTCCTTTTATACCCCCCAAAAATTATTTTATTTATCTTTTGAGCCATATGAGCCATATTTCAGTTTATACATGTGGAAACAAAGTTAATATGTTCACATTAACTGGCTATGTTACTGGTCATTTCTACCAAAGCAACCTTCTCCAAGTTATATTTTAGAAGTATTTAGTAACCTTGGGGTGTTACATTTAACAGCCATTGGTAGTTTCTTGGTGTTGCATAGCAGATGTGGTCACCATGAGCCATAATACAAAACATCAAAAAGGCACCAACTTATAAACACAGCACCCCAACTGCTACCATTATATAACATATACAGCTTGAAGTCTATCAATTCATGTGATGTTGCTCTGTTGGTTAGGAGTTGTTTAGTATTTTGTTATGTCAAGTCAAAGAGCTTTATTTTAGATACCTTGATGAAATGTTTGCGTATTGTAAAGCCTTCTTATTATTGTTTGATTACTGACATAGTGTGTGACACAACCATTTCTCACATTAATCATGCATCATGCATAAAACACTATAACTGTAATTTTATGCTTATAATTTGATATCAAAAGGAAATGTTGTGTTCTGAATGCCTAGTAGCATTTTAGATATAGATGGGAGAGATAAAGTGTTAAAATGTTTTCACGATAAATCAGTATCTTAAAACTTACAAACGCAACCAAAAAATGATTTCATGAAAATAAAAGGCGACCGTTTCATGATTGAAGAAGAAATAACTCCGCTTCACATAACTCATTGTTTTAATGTTTAAAATAATATGTTATTTCACTCATACAGCCTGTCTTATTGTTAAAAAAATACGTTATTTTACTCTTATAGTCTGTCAATGTAATACATTTTGCCTTTCTCAGAGTAAAGACATTCATGGTAATCCAAAACTCATTTTAAGGTTTGACGCACTTTCAAATTACCAGAAAACATGCAAAATGATTGGCATTCCACGCATCAATGTTATGGTGTATGAGAGTTATTTTTAGAGTTTCTAATGTAATTTTAATTAACACATGTTTTTATTTAACAGTTTTTGGTGTTTCTGTGTTTGTTGAGTCCACTTCCTTTCTCTCTTCAGCCTAAAATAGTAGTGGCAAAGTAAATTTGAAATGTTTTGTTTACAAGAAAGAGAAGTATTGTGTTTGATATTCATATACATACTGAGACTTACTGTCTGGTGCACAGACATTGAGCCATAAAGTAATATCCGTGATGAGATGTGGGTGAACCACATGTTAAAAGTAATGTTCACCTTACTTTCTGTTTGTCTTTTCTAAATCATTTTGTCCCTTTTCCATAAGTAGTTATAGTCCAAGTTTAAGACAAATTTTATCAGTAAAAATAGAGTTGCAGGTGTTAGGGATGTTAACATTGGTGTAAAACTTGACCCCAACCTTGCCCAGTTTGTGGCGTTTATCTATGAAATTAATATTTCATTGAAGTAAACTTCCTCTGTTCCCTACATGTATTTGGGCCAGAAGCAATTTTTTTTATTTTTAGGCAAGATAAAACATAAATATTCTTTAACCCTTTGTTCTTAAGATCTTGTTCTTGTATGGTGCTGTAGGCATACTGCTGTTTAAAAAACAAAAGTGCAGCATTGCAGTGTTTATTAAAGACAACAATAATGTTTACTGTTTTGTTCTGCTTTTCCATGCATTTCCAAGTTTATGAAGTAGAATGTTTTTGGCAGTGGGTAGATGTGCAAGTGGTTTTGAAAAGTCCATTTTAATGTTGTGAACTGTTACTTCTCTCTGAGTGGGGGAGCAGGGTAGGATTTAACCTTATCATTCCCTTGGAAATCATGTGAAGAAAATGAAAATCTGAAGTTTCACTGTGTATTGCAAAAGAGTTATCATTTGATAGATAACTCCATTAAAAAAAACCTTCCGCACACTTGATCATTAGAACAAAACACATTTGTTGCTGTGTATGGTTATGTTTGATTTGTTTTCTCGTTGTTGTTGTTTCTGTAACCCAGGACAACAAGATAAACACATCTGACAGCTTTGGATAAATTAAAAACTTAAGCCCTTTTAAAAGAAAAAATAAAGGGAGGAAAAAAATCAACCATACGAGGACACAGAATAAATCTGAGCCCCAGATTGGATTCGAACCTACAAACCTCTGTGTTCTAGATCACGAACATGGAGGGTCATGGGTTTGAATCCCATCTGGGGCTCAGATTTTTTCTGTGTCCTCGTATGGTTGATTTTTTTTCTCCCTTTATATCTCCCTTTATTTTTTCCGCTATAATATTAAACTCTTTTACAATTTATATTAAGTCAGGTCAAAATCTACGTCCCTCAGTTTGGAACAGCAAACGCAGTGCATTACTTTAACTTAAATCATGAACTTCCTAGAGCAGTGTTTATGTGAGTGTAACTCTCTCATCTGCAAAGGCTCCCACTGATTAACAAAATATTGGAAAATGGTGATAATGTTTAATAATTAAAATTTACATGTATAATATATTATGCAAATGTATCTACATAAAGGTAATCAGATCCATGAGTGCAGGCCTCTGTAGATCAGAGGTGAGAGAAATGTCAGGAGAAATAATATTATGAATTATTTGGGTTAAGAGTGCTGTACTGTACTGTTTCACATCTCATTCAGAAATGTACATTGTATCAAAAATAGGCCACTTCCGAGTTCTAAAAAGCCTCACTTTCAAAATGAGCCTAGCTGCACAACCTTTTGTGTGAAAATGAGTTTTATTTGCATGAAGATGAAAAATGATTTCCATATCAAAGGCTGAGCACCTACCCTTGTTTTGAAACAGAGGCCCGGGGGAACTCAGAAATGGCCTATAGTGACGCACCAGGGATGTAGCTAAGAAAACGCTAAGCAGGCTTTTTTATTTGTCAAGCCGGGTTTTTTACTCAATTCCACCTTCAAAATGTCCCCATGTCTTGGTTTTCCTTCGCAATTTGAACCAGTGGTAGCAGGGCAGTCTATAAGGGCCGGTAGCCGGCCAAAACTGCCAGCTAGTTAGCCATCCTTAGCTGGCTACTTTCATCTCCTTCTACCATAACTGCTAACAAAATATAAGCACCATCGAATAAAATAGTAAAGCATCAGTTTCCCAGTTTTGAATGACATTGAATGCATATTTTATAAACAGGTTTAGACCTGTGAAATGTCAACTATAACGTTCGAAACCGTGCGATGTCTTGGAATGCCTTGGACATTTTGACCGCATTGTTCCCAGTCTTGCAGACAGTCTTGTATGTATGCCAACAAAACACATGGCATCCGCAGTGGAAAATACCTCTTGAGAACCATTTCTGAGACTCTAAATTTCAAAATGTCCCTGGATGCTTCGGCCCTCAAGAACTTGTGCCTTTGGTGCGAGTTCCGAAGCTGCCTACTATTCATTATCAGCCTGCTACTTAAAAACTTTTTGACAGCCCTGGTGGTGGGCTCTTTTTCAGCCACTCTAGTTAGCCAGCAGCTGGCTCTTAGTGACATGCCTCGATGCATATGCAGAATTTTTTGTTTCGCTTTTTAGAGATTTCCATGGTCATCCTTGTTACTTGATCCCCTTTATGTTTTGGGCTGCTTGTATAAAATTAATACAATAAGAGATTGTTGGTTTCTTGACTCATGTGAGGAACAAAGAGCACTACTCCTAATCTAATACAGGTCATTGGCTGATTTCATGGGGAAGGCAGGCACCTTCATCTAGATCCCTACCCCTCTTCAGCCTCTTACTATCAGAAATTCCACAACAGTTTTATTTGGAAAGTAAGTTGAATGAGTGATTGCTTACAGGAGGTGGTGGTACCTACATATATGTATTTGTTTCCATTGTGAGATCAGATACCATATTTCTAATAGCAGTATTTGTACTTTTAAGGTGAGAACACACACAAATGTTGTGTTTGAAGTCCAGTCAATGGAGGCGGTAGTGCTGCCAATGGACGGTGATCTTCAGAATGGGGAGGTGATGGTGAATGGAACGGAAAAGGAAGGCTCTGGTGACCTGTGTTTCATCCACCTCAAAGGACAGATGTTGTACATGGAGGAGTGGAATTCAATGGTTTACCTTTCAACCCCAATGTAAGTTTTAAGAACACTGGGGCCCGGTTCCTGAAAGGCCGATTAGCGTTAATCCAGGGTTAAAATTTTGTTCCGTTTTTGTATTTCACATTGCTATGCATTGATTTGGGTAACATTTTGTGTTATCATTACTGTATCTCGTAGTAGAGGCTCAGCAGTATTTTGTAACCTCGAGTTGCATGTTCTTAGACAGGAAAACCGTGCTTAAAATTTGTCTTCATCCTGGGTTAAACTTAACCATCTTTCGAGGAACCTGTCCCAGCAGTCTTGATATTCTGAATAACACTGCACAATAGAAAGCAGTTCGGAATTAGCATAAACTGCCCTGTTATCAAAGATTGAAGCTGAGTTAACAGAACTTTTAGCCAGTCAGTTCAAGTTACTTTAATTTCTGTTTTTCTTTTTTCAAAGGCTTTTGACTTATGTATGTGGCAAATAGTATTACAGTAGTCGTTTTAACTGTAGCTGTAGCAAATGTTACTGTGTTCCTTTTTCAGAATTGAGAAACTAGAGATGATGCACAGTCTTGGACTGTACATCAATGACCTGAGCATGCATGATTCTAGCAGAGATCTTGTTTTAGCTGGAACACAGCAGTCAGCAGAACTAAGATTGGCCCTTGATCAGGTACCAAAAAAAATTGATTATTGTATGACACTTAAGAAACAGTGTTTATGGTTGAAATTTTTTATAGAGATATGACATGTAGTTTAAAGTGCGTTATCCTGTGAAAGTTACCTCTGATAATATATTAGAACTTCATGTTTTCTCTTTGAACCTCTACCCTCACAAGATGTCTTGAAACTCTTCCAACTCAAAAAAGCTAACTTTGCACCATCCATTTATTAGGAGCTTCTGAAAAGTGCTAAGCTTGAAGAGAGCATGAAAGAGCTGGATATAGAAAAGAGGAGGACAGATTCATTGCTGTATCAAATGATCCCTAGATCAGTGGCTGATAGGCTACGACAGGGTGAACCAGCGCTCAATACTTGTGAGGTATTTACCTTCAATATTTTTTAGATAAAAACAGTTTACCAGCAACCATAACCCTAAACCAACAATACCGTTCACTTTTGTTTCAGATGTTCCATGATGTTTCTGTCCTGTTCAGTGATGTGGTGGGATTCACGCACATCTGTTCACTAATCAGTCCCATGGAAGTGGTCACCATGTTAAACAACATGTACACAGCATTTGATCAGATCTCAGAGGAGCATAATGTTTACAAAGTAGGTATATAAGTAGCAGAGGTCTAAAGTAAGGATACTTTCAACCTTGGGGGAGATGGAGCAGGTAACTCTTAATCCTTTGTTTTTCTTAAAGGTTGAGACAATTGGTGATGCATACATGGTGGTGAGTGGTGTTCCTGAAAGAAGCAAATATCATGCGGAGCATGTCGCAGATCTTGCACTTGACATGATTTCTGCNATTTGATCAGATCTCAGAGGAGCATAATGTTTACAAAGTAGGTATATAAGTAGCAGAGGTCTAAAGTAAGGATACTTTCAACCTTGGGGGAGATGGAGCAGGTAACTCTTAATCCTTTGTTTTTCTTAAAGGTTGAGACAATTGGTGATGCATACATGGTGGTGAGTGGTGTTCCTGAAAGAAGCAAATATCATGCGGAGCATGTCGCAGATCTTGCACTTGACATGATTTCTGCCATGCCAACACTAGTGGATCCATCAAAATCATCCCCTCATCTCCGAATAAGAGTAGGTAAGGACATACTCCTAAGTTGTGCGGCGTACAGAAAGTACAAGTGTAATCTTGGGTCAACCGTTCTTTTAACAGTAGGAAGCTTAAGCAACAACGACGGCGACGGCTACGAAAACGGCGCTAAAAAGTGAAGTCGCGCTGCTTCAAAGTTTATGGCGCTTATTCAATCCCGTCTAATTCGTCAAACGTTGGCAATTTTTTTGGAGTTGAATTCTAAAAGACTGAATGGAAGTTCAGGAATTCGAAAGGAGAGAGAAAGTCGTTATCTTGTGTTCACAAAACTTGAAATTTGGCATTTTCACGTCGTAGTAGTCGTGCAGTAACGGAAACGAAATGTGCAAAAAAGCGTGGTGCACCTTCAAAATTGTTGTTTTGCCGATCTAAACCTATGGCGCCGTTCTCGTTGACGTCGCCGTCGTTGTTGCTTAAGCTCCCTAATGTTACTGGAATGCTGACTTTCAGCTAATGTTCCTAAATATTTACTTTGTCTCAGGAACTTAGTGCCAGACACTTTCTTTTTGAAACTACATACGCCCTTTCTTTTTTCTCACAGGTGTTGCTTGTGCATAGGGCAGTTATGATGAAAACATATTATCGTAGCCATTGTATCGAGTATTCAACTAGCCCTAGACTATGTTTGAGTTTTGTTGCATGCTGAGGCTGCCAACAATTGTCTTACTACTTAAATTTAAATCTTTTATGCAATTTTACAGTGGTTGATTCAGGAGAGCCCCCCCTTATTTTTAGACCAGACTGAGGCCCAAAGGGCCGAAAATTCTTTTTTTGAGAGTGTTCCCCCCCCCCTTATCTAAAGGTCTGGATAACCGGGCACCCCCCTTATCTCAAGGTCTGGAAACAGCACTGAATTATTTTACAATTGTGAAACAACAGGTGTCCACACAGGGATGGTTGTAGCAGGAGTTGTTGGGGTAAAGATGCCTCGCTATTGTTTGTTTGGGGACACAGTCAACACAGCATCGAGGATGGAGTCCACAGGATTGGTAAGTAATTATAGCCATAAGTGTCAGTGAGTTTTATGCCTTATCTGATTTAGTTGTGATTTATGGCATAGGTAGTGTAAACAAAATTATTTATTGCTATCATATACATTACGGTATGTATTATTAATACAGCAGATCGAAGATTTTGGATACAAGGCCTAAACAGAGAGGAAGCGCCTTTTTCCGCTTCCCTTTTCAGCGCAAAATATCGGAAGTGACTTGATGGAAAACTTTGATATAACCAGCAATACGTATACCAGACTGACCAAAACGACGATCGTCTTGTCCAGAGGACGTTCATACCTGTAACAGGCGGGGATAATGAAATAATTGTCTATATATCGCGACATGAGTTTTCACGTACCCATGTCGCGCTATATTAACTATGAACGGTCCATGTACGGCACACATCTTAGCTTCTCAATAGAAGCGATCCCCCGAGTGATAAGATAGGATAGGAGTGACAGAAAAGGCTTTTAATTCCAACAATAACGATGGTCCTTACCTTGCGAAGATTACGGTCAAGAAAAAAATCACAAATGGTATCGCGCTAAGTACCAAAATTCGAAGAAGGCTAAAGATTTGAATGATCACACAGACACTACTGAATTGCGTTTAGGATTACTACCTGAACAGGAAACTCTGGTAACAAGAGGGCTAAATATGACGCCAAAAAAATCAGTCTTCTTTAAACAGCTTTTTGGTCAAAATGGCATACTTTAGGTGGACCCACGCTTAAGTCTTGAATGTAAAGCGAAATTTGCCTGGTCCCTGTACGAAGTTTTCGCAGACCCTCTCGGTCAATTCACTTCGGTGACCTATCCGAGGCGAGCATTTTCGCTTGGACGACGTGACCCCAAGCGCTTTGGCCGCGCGGAATAATGAGGCCAAGGGACTAGGTAAAAGCGAATTTAAGCAGCCGTACGATAGTATCGTCCATCACATATAACAAGCATTTTGTTACAACTTCAAATTTGTCATCCATAGGCCATGAAAATCCACATCAGTGAGACTACTTACAACTGTCTACAACTGGCAAACTACAGCATGAAGCTGAGAGGAAGCATTGAAGTTAAGGTGACATGACACTCTGTAATGATAAATTTTAGTTACATTTCCTTTCCGAGAAGATAATTTGGAAAACAAATTGTTTTACACATTTTAACCACCCACTGTTTTTCTTTTCAGTCTTAATTTCTTATCACATTATTTTAGATCTAAGGGTTGAAACTGTATCTTTCATTTCAAATCATTTGTACGTACAAGAACCTTTGAAAACGATTTGCTTTGCTTTGAGACACAGTGTGGTCAAACGATTTGATTTGCTTTTGGGCATAGCGTGGTCAAATTTTGCAGTGAAACTAGAGGCAAGTGTTGTTTCAATGAATGATTTACAAGCGAATACCTTATGTATCCATGTAAGCCGTCACTTGGGCATTAGAGTACACTTCAGCACTATTAACCGCTATTAACCGACAAGTTCCAAGAGTGACCAAAATCCAGTCTCTCCCAGCAATATCAATACATAGTCTAGAGAAAAGGCTATGATAATTATATGCTATCAACTAATTGTTTTAAGGGGCAGTTTTGTTGGTTTTTTGGGGATATGATGTTGATTTGGGAAGGAAATAAGGGTAGAAAAGGTATACACATAAACCAGCTAATGGGATGAGAGGCACCTTGTTGTGGTGGTGGACTATCTGGTAAATAGAGAGATTAAGATTCACGTTTACTGCAAACGGCAAACGTCAGACTCAGATTGAGAATTTCTCAGAATAGGAAATAAGCAGATAAAAACTGTCCAGAACGATTCCTTTGGTTAAAACTGGCATAAATCTGCTTATTTTTGTGTAGAATAATAAAGAGTAAATAGAGAACAAGAGAAAAACTTGGTCACGTGGAACAAATTCACGTCTGCCGTTTGGCGTAAACGTGAATCTTAATTTCTCTATTGTCTACTAGTTATTCACTTCATACTTTAATTTTTAACAGCCCCCAAATCCAAATATTTTCCAATTTTTCCAACATTTTATGCATCCCCCCCTGATTTTTATACATTAAAAATATTCGAAAAATTATCCAAAAATCATCCAAAAAATATTGAATTAAGGACTCTAACTAAATTGCGTCCTTTTTTGATTGAATGAAATGTTTGCTAGATATTGAAGGAAAGGGGTGGTAATCAACGAACAATAATGCTTTTAACCAGACTACTGCCCCCTGAAGGCAATGTCTGGAGAATTTTTATGTGTAATTTTGGGGTTAAAGGGTTAAGTAAAATTTCCTTTTAATATCGAGGGATCAAGTGCTTTATATTTGAGGGTCATGGTAAGCTTTTTTTCCGTGCCTGTAGGGAAAAGGAGGGATGAAAACATACTGGCTTGTTGGAAGGAATGGAATGGGAGAAACAGCACAGTCGTACATGTCGTTTGTCGGCGGTAGCCATCCAATTGCAATCCACACCGAGTCTGACGATGCTATACTCTTAATCCTTTGTTTTTCTTAAAGGTTGAGACAATTGGTGATGCATACATGGTGGTGAGTGGTGTTCCTGAAAGAAGCAAATATCATGCGGAGCATGTCGCAGATCTTGCACTTGACATGATTTCTGCGATGCCAACACTAGTGGATCCATCAAAATCATCCCCTCATCTCCGAATAAGAGTAGGTAAGGAGATACTCCTAAGTTGTCCACTGTACAGAAAGTACAAGTGTAATCTTGAGTCAACCGTTTTTTTAACAGTAGGGAGCTTAAACAACAACGACGGCGATGGCTATGAAAGCGGCACTAAAAAGTGAAGTCGCGCTGCTTCAAAGTTTATGGCGCTTATTCAATCCCCTCCAATTCGTCAATTGTTGGCAATTTTTTTGGAGTTGAATTCTAAAAGACTGAATGGAAGTTCAGGAATTCGAAAGGAGAGAGAAAGTCGTTATCTTGTGTTCACAAAACTTGAAATTTGGCATTTTCATGTCGTAGTAGTTGTGCAGTAACGGAAATGAAATGTACAAAAAGGCGTGGTGCACCTTCAAAATTGTTGTTTTGCCAATCTAAACCTATGGTGCTTTTCTCGTTGACGTCGCCGTTGTTGTTGCTTAAGCTCCCTAATGTTACTGTAATGCTACCTTTCAGTTAATGTTCCTAAATATTTACTTTGTCTCAGGAACTTAGTGTCAGACACTTTCTTTTTGAAACTACACACACACTTCTTTTTTTCTCAAAGGTGTTGCTTGTGCATAGGACAGTTATGATGAAAACATGTCACTGTAGTCATTGTATGGAGTATTCAACTAACCGCAGACTATGTTCAAGTTTTGTTGCATGCTGAAGCTCCCAAAGATTGTCTTATTGCTTGAATTTAAATCGTTTATGCAATTATTCTGCAATTGTGATACAACAGGTGTCCACACAGGGATGGTTGTAGCAGGAGTAGTTGGGGTAAAGATGCCTCGCTATTGTTTGTTTGGGGACACAGTCAACACAGCATCCAGGATGGAGTCGACAGGATTGGTAAGTAATTCTGTTGGCCAGAACCTTTTTAGAACCTCTAATTTGATAGGTTCTTGTTGACCCGAAGCTCTATTGTTTCAGAGTTGGGATTCATTGTTAGTTTTGTTTGGGTTAGGGCTATCTATTGTTTTCTAAACCAATCAGATCCTGTGAGCCATTCTTAGAGCTTCCAGCCCACCCAAGTAATTATAGCCATAAGTGTCAATGAGTTTTATGCCTTATCTGATTTAGTTGTGATTTATGGCATAGGTAGTGTAAACAAAATTATTTATTGCTGTCATATACATTACGGTATGTATTATACAGCCGATCGAAGATTTTGGATTCAAGGTCTAATTGGAAAGGAAGTGTCTTTTTAGCTTACTTTATGATTCAAGCACCAGGAAAGAAGTTTCCCTTTTCAGTGCAAAATATCGGAAGTGACTTAATGAAAAACACTGATGTAACCAGTTATACGTATACCAGACTGACCTTAACGACGGTCGTCTTGCCCAGAGGACGTTCCATATCTGTAACAGGCGGTGATAACGGAATAATTGTCTTTAGTAAAATCAAACTAGTGGTCTATTATCAATGCTGCGTTCTGATTGGTTGAGCTACTACTAGGCTATATGTTATAGCCCACTACTAGCGAAAAGCGCCTGATTTTTGTCGGCAAAAAAAGATTAAAGTCTTGCTTTAAGTTGTTTTGTCTCGATATTTTTGACCAACTAGTTGGATTTTACTATAAAACAATTATTCCTCTCGCCCCCATGGCCTCTGATTCAATAGCCGTCGGCCTTTGGCCTCTTGGGCTATTGACTCAGAGCCCATTCGGGCTCGATGAATAATTGTTAAATATATGGCGATATCAGTTTTCACATACCTATGTCGCGATATATTAACTATGAACGGTCCATGTAAGGCACACATCTTCGCCTCGCAATAGTAGCGATCCCCCGAGTGATAAGAAAGGATAGTAGTGACAGAAAAGGCTTTTAAATCCAGCAATAACGATGGTCGTTACCTTGCGAGGATCACGGTCAAGAAAAAATCTAAAATGGTATCGCGATAAGTACCGAATTTCGAAGAAGGCTAAAGATTTGGATGATCACACTACTGGATTGCGTATTTAGGATTAATACCTGAACAGGAAACTGTGGTAACGAAAGGGCTAAATATGACGCCAGAAAATCAGCTTTTTTTAAAAGCAACTTTTTTGGTCAAAATGGCACACTTTAGGTTGACCCACGCTTACGTCTTGAATGTAAAGCGAAATTTGCCTGGTCCCTGTACGACGTTTTCGCAGTCCCTCTCGGTCAATTCACTTCGGTGACCTATCTGAGGCGAACATTTTCGCTTGGAAGACGTGACCCCAAGCGGTTTGGCCGCGCGGAATAATGAGGCCAAGGGACTAGGTAAAAGCGAATTTAAGCAGCCGTACGATAGTATCGTCCATCACATATAACAAGCATTTTGTTACAACTTCAAATTTCTCATCCATAGGCCATGAAAATCCACATTAGTGAGACTACTTACAACTGTCTACAACTGGCAAACTACAGCATGAAGCTGAGAGGAAGCATTGAAGTGAAGGTGACATGAAACTCTGTAATGATAAATTTTAGTTACACTTCCTTTCCCAGAAGAAGATAATCTGGAAAACAAATCGTTTTACACATTTTAACCACCCATTGTTTTTCTTTTCAGTCTTAATTTCTTATCACATTATTTTAGATCTAAGGGTTGAAACTGTATCTTTCATTTCAAATCATTTGTACGTAGTGGAACCTTTGAAAACGATTTGCTTTGCTTTGAGGCACAGTGTGGTCAAACGATTTGATTTGCTTTTGGGCACAGTGTGCTCAAATTTTGCAGTGAAACTAGAGACAAGTGTTGTTTCAATGAATGATTTACGAGCGTATACCGTATGTATCCAAGTAAGCCGTCACTTCAGCATTAGAGTACACTTCAGCACTGGAATGCTATTAACCTACAAGTTCCAAGAGTGACCAAAATCAAGTTTTTCCCAACAATATCAATACATAGTCTAGAGAAAAGGCTATGAGAATTTATATTCTATCAACTAATTTTTTCAAGGGGGCAGTTTGGTTGGTTTTTTGGGGATATGATGTTGATTTGGGAGGGAAATAAATAAGGGTGGAAAAGGTAAACACATAAACTAGCTAATGGGATGAGAGGCACCTTGTTGTGGTGGTGGACTATCTGGTAAATAGAGCGATTAAGAATCACGTTTACTGCAAACGGCAAACGTCAGACTCAGATTGAGAATTTCTCAGAATAGGAAATAAGCAGATAAAAACAGTCCCGAACGATTCCTTTGGTTAAAACTGGCATAAATCTGCTTATTTTTGTGTAGAATTATAAAGAGTAAAGGGAGAACAAGGGGAAAACTTGGTCACGTGGTACAAATTCACGTCTGTCGTTTGGCGTAAACGTGAATCTTAATCTCTCTATTGTCTACTAGTTATTCACTTCATACTTTAATTTTTAACAACCCCCAAATCCAAATATTTTCCACTTTTTTCAAAATTTTAGGCATCCCCCCCCCTAATTTTTATACATTAAAAATTTTCGAAAAATTATCCAAAAATCATCCAAAAAATATTGATTTAAGGACTCCAACTAAATTGCGTCCTTTTTTGATTGAATGAAATCTTGGCTAGATATTGAAGGAAAAGGGTGGAAATCAACGAAAAATAATGCTTTTAACCAGACTACTGCCCCCTGAAGGCAATGTCTGAAGAATTTTTATGTGTAATTTTGGGGTTAAAGGGTTAAGTAAAATTTTCTTTTAATATCGAGGGATCAAGTGCTTTATATTTGAGGGTCATGGTAAGCTTTTTTTCCGTGCTGGTAGGGAAAAGGAGGGATGAAAACATACTGGCTTGTTGGAAGGAATGGAATGGGAGAAACAGCACAGTCGTACATGTCGTTTGTCGGCGGTAGCCATCCAATTGCAATCCACACCGAGTCTGACGATGCTANATTTGAGGGTCATGGTAAGCTTTTTTTCCGTGCCTGTAGGGAAAAGGAGGGATGAAAACATACTGGCTTGTTGGAAGGAATGGAATGGGAGAAACAGCACAGTCGTACATGTCGTTTGTCGGCGGTAGCCATCCAATTGCAATCCACACCGAGTCTGACGATGCTACATCACATCATTCTACCTTGGGAAACATCAATCTTCAGATGAACACGACGGTGGTGTCCGAAGAGGATGAGAAGACTTTGAACGGGGCTGATGAAGGGAATGAAATAATAAACCCACAAAAAGATTGTCCTGTTGCATACTACGGCCATGTTCCCCACACGCCTGCTAATGATGGTGCGCACTTTAAGTGGGAAGAGAAGGTTTGAAATTTTTGTGGTATAATTTTTTTTAAATTTATGTCTGCTAATTGTTTACATTTGGTCAAAGGAACACTGCCTTTAAATGTCTGAGTCGTATTACTTTTTAATTGTTGAGATTTCATGTACGATAAAGAGGAAACACGGCTAACTCTTGTATAAAATAGATGGTGAATGTTTTTTGTCGCCTCAAAATGATGAGCTCATACATGTTCGTTGAAAACGATTCTCCCAAACAAACATTTGTCGTCAAATGGCGCTAGCAATGCCACAGTTTCCGTTTACAAACGCTTCGTCAGTCAAGTGTAAAAACATTTGAACCGCATGATTGGTCAGGTATCAACATTTTTAACGGTAAAAAATGAAAGCCTTAGCTGCAGTGTACGTAGCTTTTCTGAGTTTATTCTTTTAGTATCTGAACACAACACCCCTTGTGGACGTTGAGATGCAAGGTGCTACTCCAAAAAGTGTATAGTGATTGAATACACTACATTTGAAAATTTAACTGTTATATGTACTCTCTGATTTTCAGGGCAATTTAAACAATGACTCTTTGATCAAAGAGAATTCTTCTGCCGTAGATGAGCAGGCCAAATCAAAGAAGGAAAATAAGCCCTCTAACACCGCGTCAACATCATTGTGTAATCTTTTGTAACTTATTACAACTGTTCTTCTATCGAGTGCTCGGTATTGAATTGGAATTATTATTTTTGCATGGGAGGTGTCATTGTTTTTGAAAATTTAATTTTTATTCTTTGGGTTTGTACAGTACTTCAAGCCTGTTTTGAACTACTTTTTAATGTATAATTTCTATTTAGTTATTTCCTTTTTTACTGTATTGAAAATTTTCGGGATATTTTTATTTTGTACGTTAAACGTCAAAGATATCCGATATCTAACATAGCATAAGGGAAAAAGCACTTTGAAATTTATTCTAAACTATTTAAAGGGCGTTTGTAAGATGCTTTGGAATTAAGTTATTTGGGTTAAGCTGTATTAATTTATGATCGTAATTGTCGGGGCAAATGTCCTCGCATTTCATATCATTGAAAAAAGACCTGATTCATGTTTGATATGGGGTCACCAAAAAGGAAGCAGTTTAGGGAGGTGATCCTTTACCCCTTTGAGAAACGGACTACATGCGTGCTTGAGTACTTTAGAAGGGGCAGGGTAGGCTTTAAAAAGATGGGTTTTACTTGGGCACCATAGACAGTTACAGATTTAATATAGGTGTTCGCCGTAGAGAGGTGACATTCTAGAAATATATGTTTCGTAGTTGGTGATGCTTGCATACCTCAGATAGGTGGACTCCTTAAGGAGGCCGTCACCTTAAAAGTTGGGGGGTACATAAGAGATGTACACACCTCAAAGACGTCGGTGCCTCAGAGGTTCGGAATCTTAGTAAGGTGTGTGCCTCAGAGTGCTTGCTCTCTTAACCATAAAGATGTTTAATTGGCATCTCAGTCGTAAAAAAAAACTGTATCAGTTAAGATTACTTTTTATTTTATTTTATTTTTTTACTGCTTTAATGTTTATTTCGTGCTGTCTTGTAAATGTATATTATTTGTGTTTCCCGTTGCATCTTACCTGAAGACTCACCCCATCTTCCTGGTTTCTAGTTGGTCTGAAGCACCAAACGCTGTATATCGTAATTAAATGAGTATACAATTTAACCGAAAAAGGTTCCATTTTCAGGGAATTTATCAAATGACCTGGTTTCGAAGCGGTTGGCATACTGGGCTTCTCTTACTGAAATGTTAATAATGTTGTTTGATGCAATTAGTACTTAATTGTATCACAGCAAACAGACACTCGAACCAAAACAAATTAAACTCAGGAAAAGAGTCCTAATACAACAGAGTCAATACCCGTTGGCCCCATAAACTAAACTGAAGTTAGCCTGAGTATCAGGCGTTTCTGCGGAAAAAAGGGAAAGATGGAGTCGAAAAAGGGAGAGAGTTATACTCAGGCTAAATTGAAGTTGTATTTCGAAATCGTGGCTCTTGTTCTGATAAACGTTTTGAATTGTGGGCAAAATTAGCGAAAGCTGATAGCGTCGGTCTTGTTGATTAAGCTGCGCTGGGCTTGTCTATTGACGCCGATAAACCTTCTCTTGACACTAGAGAGCCTATGGGTTCACTAGATAGCGCTAACGTTAGTTTGTAGATAAACTCCTTTGAGTTAAGGTGTTTGACGTTCTAAAGACAAATATGTCAGACATGATCTAAATCATTTCAATTAATAATACTTATGAACAAATTCTTGTGGGGTTGTATGATTCTAATTTTGAATTAGGTTTGAATTTTTACTGGGCTTTGGAAAAGTTAATTTATATTACAACTTGAAACGATTGAATACGTTACGTAATCGTATTTGGAGCCAGCCAACATATTAATGTATAATTATTATGTTAAGTATGCAAAATAATTTGTACATTGAGAAGGGAAAGTATATGAATATCGGGCAGGGTTTGCAGTTGCGGCGTCTGGGAAAAATACTGCTTTGTTATTTATCTGGGTTAGTCGTTAATTTCCTGTCTCAGTAAGTGTATAACACATAAGTGTGGAGCTCATCGTGTTGGTCTTAAGAGCTCTTTTGTAACGAGATCTTATATTTGCAATTTATCTTCCACCTGTTGGTTCACACTCACTAAAAAGGCCGTTATTTATAAATTTGATGCTAATATATGGGAGAAATATTTTCGCTGAAAGGGGGAGATCAATAGGGGAGGCGGGGCAAGGGAGGAGGGTGACAACCCCAATTGTTACATTACCAAGGACCTAAAGTAAATAATGCGAAAATTCGACGTCGAAAATGGGGGGGGGGGGGGGGTCGTAATTAAATGAGTATACAATTTAACCGAAAAAGGTTCCATTTTCAGGGAATTTATCAAATGACCTGGTTTCGAAGCGGTTGGCATACTGGGCTTCTGTTACTGAAATGTTAATGATGTTGTTTGATGCAATTAGTACTTAATTGCATGACAGCAAACAGACACTCGAACCAAAACAAATTAAACGCAGGAAAAGAGTCCTAATACAACAGAGTCAATACCCGTTGGCCCCATAAACTAAATTGAAGTGAGCCTGAGTATCAGGCGTTTCTGCGGGAAAAAGGGAAAGATGGAAGCGAAAAAGGGAGAGAGTTATACTCAGGCTAAATTGAAGTTATATTTCGAAAACGTGGCTCTTGTTCTGCTAAACGTTTTGAATTGTGGGCAAAATTAGCGAAAGCTGATAGCGTCGGTCTTGTTGATTAAGCTGCGCTGGGCTTGTCTATTGACGCCGATGAACCTTCTCTTGACACTAGAAACCCTATGGGTTCACTATATGTCAGACATGATCTAAATCATTTCAATTAATAATACTTATGAACAAATTCTTGTGGGGTTGTATGATTCTAATTTTGAATTAGGTTTGAATTTTTACTGGGCTTTGGAAAAGTTAATTTATATTATAACTTGAAACGATTGAATACGTTACGTAATCGTAACTGGAGCCAGCCAACATATTAGTGTATAATTATTATGTTAAGTATGCAAAATAATTTGTACATTGAGAAGGGAAAGTATATTAATTGAATATGAATATCGGGCAGGGTTTGCAGTTGCAGCGTCTGGGAAAAATACTGCTTTGTTATTTATCTGGGTTAGTCGTTAATTTCCTGTCTCAGTAAGTGTATAACACATAAGTGTGGAGCTCATCGTGTTGGCCTTAAGAGCTCTTTTGTAACGAGATCTTATATTTGCAATTTATCTTCCACCTGGTGGTTCACACTCACTAAAAAGGCCATTATTTATAAATTTGATGCTAATATATGGGAGAAATATTTTCGCTGAAAGGGGGAGATCAATAGGGGAGGCGGGGCACGGGAGGAGGGTGACAACCCCAATTGTTACATTACCAAGGACCTAAAGTAAATAATGCGAAAATTCGACGTCGAAAATGGGGGAGGCGGGGCACGGGAGGAGGGTGACAGCCCCAGTTGTTACATTACCTAGGACCAAAAGTAAAGTACGGCGAAAAGCCGGCATCTAAAATGGCGTAGAAAACTATCCAAAGAACAAGCTATGGGATAGTTTCATCTAGTTGGTTGGTTTATTGACGAACGGTTTTTACTCTCCAACTTAAAATGACTATTTAGGTTGCTGTACCGTCTATCTCTTTATGATCTTTAAGCCTTTTTTGTGGGCATGGTCTTATCTCATATGGGCAAGCACAGCATCATCCATGCGCATGGTACGAAAATATAATGAATGGGCATGGGTGTAGATCGGCTTAAATAAAGATATGTAAACCTACCCGTTGGTAGCGGGACTGGCACATGCAGCGAGCGTAGTAATAAATCGAACTGCTAAGACATTTTCGTGGTGCCTTTTTATTGAGCATTTGAATGGAAATAATTTATAATTTAGTGTCAGATAAACTTGTAAATAATAAGCTCGAAATGAGGTGTAATATGACTATGAATGTTATAAATAATCTCATGCACTTCGATAATATATATAGTCTTGCCATATTTACCCTTTTTTCTTGTTGAAAAATATTAAATTCATTTCGAGGTTCAGCTTTTGTTGGTTTGAACCTCTTTGAAAAGTGGAATTTTGAGTATAAATTATTATTTCGCGAATTAATGGAAAGCATTTTTCGCGCGTTTTGATATGCTTCCGTAAATCGGAATATCCACCAGTATTTCCCCCCTCCAATTCGGGGGACAGTTGTATAACACAGTGTAAAATAAAATTAGATGGTTCGTTTAACATAGCTAAAGAAATTCAGCATTATTGTTAACGGTTTCGATGAAAGAAAGTTCAAAAAGCTTTTCAATTTATTTGGTGTAATTCTTGACGATTGAATTTCTTTAAGAATTAAAACTTCCTACCACCCCTAAAACCCGCAATGCTTTTTTGTCTGAAAACGCTTGCAATACTATGCGTTATGTTCTGCTCCCACATGAAAGCGATAGACAACGGAAACGGAAAAGTTGTAATAAAAAACGAAGGTTTTCGAAAACTGGCTTTAAGGTGGAATTCTGAAAACGGAAATCTATTCAGCTTTAACAGAGCGCTGTTTAGCTTGTTCCAGGCTCCGAGATAGTCGAGTGCGCGTGAGAACGCGCGAACACGAAACGAACGGGTGGAAACTACCGCCCCGTTTCCTAGATCACGATTTTCGCGTGCCTTTCACTAACGCGTCATCCCCACTATCTGAGAGCCTGGAACAGGCTAAGCTCTGTTAGGTGTGGACTGGCGAGAAATCGCTGACATCATCATCAGCTTTCTGTTTAAAACAAAGCAAGAACGTAACACCTGTAATTATACGTCCGAGGATAGCCTGGCATAAAAAACGCACCTGATATGCGTTTTCGGTCACGGCCTTGTTGTGGACGGTCGCGAACGATGCGAAACGGTAGTGTGAAATCCAAAGCGTTTGATACGATTTTTACGTAAACTGAGTTTTTCTGGAAAACGTATTAGTGTTAACATGGCTTAAAATCTTCTCCAGTTTAATGTTAAATCCTAACAACTAGAGTTCGTTAACTTTTTATTTTTCCCTTCCCTTCCAAGATTTACCGGGACCTGTTATCGTGTACTGTAACGATATTTTTGCGTATTAAACGTCGGTATTTTCTCTTATCAATCCACGGTGTTTATTATTGTTAATGACTATTCATGAATGAATTGAGTAAGGCACATTAATACTACTCTTTCGTCAATACTGTCACAAACAATAAACTATATTAAAGAAGGTCGGTAAGAAAAAACGTTTAACCAAATGCTGTTTTCCTATATGCCTTTCAAATTTACATATCTTAAAATTTGTTTATACACATATGTACAAAAGAGCCTCAGCGTGATAAATAGTTAAAAGTAAATATATAAATATATATATTTTTTAAAAATGTTTCATAAAACTAGACGATTCCTGAACAAGTTTGTTTGATCTACCCCATAAACGTGCCCGTCGAAACGTTAAATGATTCTGTATACCCATTGGGAACGTACAGTATAGGTCCTTTGTTCTGTTAGTTCAAAAAAGATGCTTTTGAAACTAATGTATACAAATCTTTTACTGGAGATACATGTACTCAGTGTAGCCAGTGTTCAATAAAAGAACATTAGGGCACTGGGGCAAATCAATGAAATCACATCCTTGTCATACGGTTTTGCAAGGTGATCGTGTTTGTGGGTTAGGTTCATGTACAAACTGTTAACACATTGTGGAGATGTTTCGTGATTTGAAGTGGACGTGTAATTTCTATTAGGGTGGAGTCAGGAGACCATCTTGCCAAGTTTTCTATCTAGTACCCAGGCGTCTCTTGCAACGTGGAATTCCAAGAAATAAATAACGGCTGCCAGCAGCTGTCTTTCCCATAATGCCTTACTCTTCACTTTCATCAAGTCTCCTGCACGTGACTGCGGTCTTTGTCGTCTTTTACACAACAATACTGCGGTGTTCCATCGAATGATGGGCTTGAATCTCTTATGGGGGCTCATGACAACATTCTTGTGGAATTGGGAGTCTCTGATACGTTCAATGGCCTTTTATTTTAAAAGCTCATATGCGGTCACCGTCATGATTGTTACGGTTCGTCGATCAGATGGCCGTCTTTCAAGGCCACTATTTTGTCACAGTGTTCAATGGACCTGACTCGATGCGAGATCATAATCACAGTTGAATTCTTTAGTTTATCTCTGATTGTTTCTTGAATGATGTGCTCCGTTTTGGGGTCCACATGAGCTGTAGGCTCATCTAAAATGACGATTTTACTCCCCCGTAGCATAACTCGAGCGAGGCAAAGTAACTGCTTTTCTCCTACACTGAGATTCATTCCACTATTAGTTAGTGTGTAAGATAGCTTGCCTTGCAAAGTCTCTACTAACTGCTTCAGCTGCACAGCTTCTAACGCTGCCCATAAAACAGCATCACTGTGCTTTCCCAGTGGATCGAGGTTCTTCCGGATAGTCCCACTGAAAACAACAGGATCTTGTCTTAGCACAGAAATGCACCTTCGAGACTGTTGAACGTTCAAATCATTCAGCTTCACTCCATCTATTGTGATTGTTCCTTCAGCCTCGGGCATGCGCATGAGCGCAGCTATGATACTTGATTTGCCGGATCCTGTCCTTCCTACGATTCCAGTCTTTGATTGTCCATCAATGCTCAAGTTTAAGTTGTCTAATACTTTTGCACCCTCAGGATAGTACCTCAGGGATACGCCCGTGAACGTTATTTGGCCATTTGTTGGCCACTGCCCGGTTATTGTGGATGCTGTCTTGTAACCTGGTTCAGGGTTAATCTTGAAAATGGCCATCACTCGTTCTACAGAAGTCATTAAGCTCTCCACTTCTGCGGACTGTTGAACGCTCACCTGGGTAAAATGAACGGTTTCAAAGACGTAGACAAAAGCAATTCCCACCAGAGCTGAAAATGGAACAGCAAATCTAGTTACATTAAGAAT